GGTGCTACTTTGTGATGCAAAACAAAATATTATTATTATTGTATTATTATGGTAAAGATGTTTTAGTGTATCTGGAAGTGTTTCTTTAATGTTTTTTATGCATAGAAATGTACACTATATATTATACAGGTATACCTCGGAGATATTGTAGGTTTTGTTCCCGACTACCACAACAAAGCCAATATTTCAGTAAAGCGAGTCACATGAATTTTTTGGTTTCCCAGTGCACATAAAAGTTATGTTTACCTATACCGTAGTCTATAAAAAGTTTGCAACAGCATTATGACTAAAAAAGAATGCACATATCTTAATTAAAAAAATACTTTATTGCTAAAAAATGCTAACCATCATCTGACCCTTCGGTGAGTCGTAATCTTTTTGCTGCTGGAGGGTCTTGACTCAATGTTGATGGCTGCTGACTGATCAGGGTGGTGGTTGATGAAGGTTGGGGTGGCTGTGGCAATTTCTTAAAATAAGACAACAATGAAGTTTGCCGCATTGATTGACTCTTCCTTTCACGAAACATTTCTCTGAATCATGTGATGCTATTTGATAGCATTTTACCCATAGTAGAACTTCTTTCAAAATTGGAGTCAGTCCTCTCAAACCCTGCCACTGCTTTATCAACTAAGTTTATGTAATATTCTAAATCCTTTGTTGTCATTTCAATAGTGTTCACAGCATCTTCACCAGGAATAGATTCCATCTCAAGAAACCACTTTCTTTACTCATCCGTAAGAAGCAACTCCTCATCCGTTAAGGTTTTATCATGTGATTATAATTCAGTCACATCTTCAGGCTCCACTTCTAATTCTAGTTCTCTTGCTATTTCCACCACATCTGCAGTTACCTCCTCCACTGAAGTCTTGAACCCTTCAAAGTTATCCATAAGGTTTGGAATCAACTTCTTCCAAACTCCTGTTAATGTTGATATTTTGACCTCCTATGAATCACAAATGTTCTTAATGGCATTTAGATGGCAATCCTTTCCAGAAGTTTTTCAATTGACTTTGCCCAGATCCATCAGGGGAATCACTATCTAGGGCAGCTATAGCCTTAAGAAATGTATTTTTTAAATAATAGGACTTGAAAGTCAAAATTTCTCCTTGATCCATAGGCTGCAGAATGGATGTTGTGTTAGCAGGCATGAAAATAACATTAATCTCCTTGTACATCTCCACCAGAGCTCTTGGGTGACCAGGTGCATTGTCAATGAACAGTAATACTTTGAAAATCTTTTTGTTTTCTGAGCAGTAGGTCTCAATAGTGGGCTTAAAATATTCAGCAAACCATGTTGTAAACAGATGTGCTGTCATCCAGGCTTTGGTGTTCCATTTATAGAGCACAGGCAGAGAAGATTTAACATAATTCTTAAGGGCCCTAGGATTTTGGGAATGGTAAACGAGCTTGGCTTCAGCTTAAAGTCATCCACTGCATTAGCCCCTAACAAGAGAGTCAGTCTGTCCTTTGAAGCTTTGACACCAGGCATTGACTTCTCTCTAGCTATGAAAGTCCTAGATGGCATCTTCTTTCCATGTAAGGCTGTTTTGACTACATTGAAAATCTGTTGTTTAGTGTAACCATCTTCATCAATTATCTTAGCTGGATCTTCTGGATAACTTGCTGCAGCTTCTACATCAGAACTTGCTGCTTCACCTTGCATTTTTATGTTATGGAGACGGCTTCTTTCCTCAAACCTCACGAACCAGCCTCTGCCGGCTTCAAATTTTCTTCTGAAGCTTCCTCACCTCTCTCAGCTTTCAAGAATTAAAGAGAGTTAGGGCCTTGCTCTGGATTAGACTTGGGCTTACGGGAATGTTGTAGCTGGTTTGATCTTCTATCCAGACCACTAAAACTTTCTCTACCCATATCAGCAACAAGGCTGTTTCGCCTTCTTATCATTTGTGTGTCCACTGGAGTAGCACTTTTAACTTTCTTCAAGAACTTTTTCTTTGCATTCACAACTTGGCAAACTGTTTGGTGCAAGAGGCCTAGCTTTTGGCCAGTCTCATCCTTTGACACGCCTTCCTCACTAAACTTAATCCTTTCTAGCTTTTGATTTAAAGTGAGAGACATGCGACTCTTCCTTTCATTTGAACACTTACTGGCCACTGTAGGGTTATTAATTGCCCTTATTTCAATATTGTTGTGTTTCAGGGAATAGGGAGGCCCAAGGACAGGGAGAGAGATGTGGGAATGGCCAATTGGTGGAGCAGTCAGAACAAACACAACATGGATATAAAGATTAAGTTCGCTGTCTTACGTAAGTGTAGTTTGTGGTGCCCCAAAACAATTACAATAGTAACATCAAAGATCACTGATCACAGATTACCATGACAGATATAATAATAATGAAAAAGGCCGAAATATTGTGAGAATTACCAAAATGTGCCACAGAGACAAGAAGTGAGCAAATGCTGTTGGAAAAATGGCACCGACAGACTTGCTTGATGCAGGTTGCTACAAACCTTCGATTTGTAAAAAACAAAGTATCTGTGAAGTGCAATAAAGCAAAGTGCAATAAAACGAGGTATGCCTGTGTACTCAGACAAACATCTGACTAACTGACATTAGATTCAAACTGTACCTAGCTGTTCTGACTTATGTACAAATTTGATTTAAAGACAGATTTAGGAATGGAACTTGTTCGTAATCCGGGGACTGCCTGTATAATAAATAGCACTTTCATCTTAACTTAAGTAGACTGTTGTGCATATTTTGTTATGTTCTGGTCACACAACTTATACCATATGCTACCAATAAACATCCTTGTCATACACTCTGGTTATTACTAATCTGACTGTAAAAATAAACTCCTCTTGTTTATTTTTGGGGAAAAGGTTAATTTGGATTTCAGGTAAATATTCTGGGTATCCAGAATTTCTGAAAAGTGCCCTGAGTCCTAGCACAACCCTTATCATAGTAGAGATTAATCAGAAGAAGCTAATGGGAATTAATAGTATTTTATTGCCTTTGGATAAGAGTAGAGTTGATTGAGAAACCCCAGGAAAAAAGTAAAAATCAGTCTCACCACTAGAGATAATCACCATACCATTTCCCTGCCTTTTCTTGCATATTATTTTTTAAGTGTCTGTGTGTGCCAGGCTGTATACATGATTAGAAAATTCTAGGTTCCATTTTTTTACCTGCTCTTTTCATTCAATACTGTGACTAGTTTTCCATGTCTCTAAATATTCTTAAACATTTAAAATAGAGTAATGGTTCATCAAGTAAATATTTCACAATTGATTTAAAAATCCCCCTACTGTTTAGATACTAAGACTTATTTATTTATTTATTGCTATTACCTATGATAAGGAGCCCTGGTGGCACAGTGGTTAAAGTGCTCAGCTGCCAACCAAAAGGTCAGCGGTTCCAACCTACCAGCTGCTCCATGGAAGATGTGGTAGTCTTCTGTAAAGATTTACAGTCTTAGAAACCCAGTTCTACTCTGTCCTATAGGGTCACTATGAGTCAGAATTGACCCGATGGCAGTGGGCATTATCTATGATGCTTCAGTGAATATCCTTTGTACCTAAATTATTTCTTCATCCCTCTTTAGGATAAATTCCTAGGAGTGGAATTACAGGTCAAAGAGTATGGATATTTTTCAAGCACTTAATGCATACTGCCAGGATTATGTATTCCTTTAGACTAAGATCTTCCAAAGTAACAAATTAATGATTTTTCTGGGTGTCATAGGTAAGTGCACCTATGTGAAATCACCTAGATAGTCCATCTTAGAGGGCGTGGAAAGGTGTATACGAATGTCTGGAAATAAAACCAATTCAACCAGAACTATGCACTAGGGTTGACCACTTCCTGGAAATATTTTACATAGCTCCTGATTTACCTGTAAGGCACTTAAATTCTTTCTCTCCCCTCTCCCCATCACTCAAGCTGGGTGAATTTATTATAGTCTCTATATATATATGTATCACTCATTTGGCATTGAATTATTTTTTATTCTTTGTAACCACAGCAAGTGTTTCATCCATACAAATCCATTAAAAGTTCCCACATTCACATTCTTTTAAATATGATTTTGTTAAGTATCAGGTATTGTGCTAGGCACTTAACAACTATTATTTAATTATCACAACCACCCAGTAAAGTAGGTTATTTTCTATTTTTAATTATAAGGTATTGAGGCTCAGTGTTTAAACAGAACTGCAGTTGGTAGGTGCTCAATAAATATTAATAGATTTGCTCCAAAGAATGAGTAGCTGTGAGATTCCATGTCCAAGCATTGAGTTGGTAACATGCCATTTCCATGGTGGCACTATGAATCGTGTGGAGTAGCTACTCTTCCTTCAGCTAAATGCTCTAGAATTTGTGGTGCCTCTTGCCCCTACAAATGCCTGAATTATCAATGAAACCAGCAGGGACCTTTAAGAGGTCTCCACCAAAACTAAACATGGCGCAGTGTGCCAGAGAAAATGTTATATGGATTTTTAATAGGAGTTGTAAAGGCAGAGAGAAAGTTTCTGGGAAGGCTACAGATGCCATAGTTGAAAATGTACTGGTCTTCTTATACTATATCCACAGAGGCTATACTACAAACAACATTAAAATGAATTCTCATAGATTTTCATTAGATATGGTAAAGGAGCGATTTCATTTAAAATGAAGACTAAAACTCTGTACCTTTATAATGTTTAAACAAAAACAAACTGCCCACAACAATATTCTCCCTATCTTCAATATAACAATTTTATTGGCACTCCTGAAATACTAGTAGAGAGTTATCAATGCTTTAAAAAACTAGACAATGTATGATGTTCTTTAGAAATATATATACATTTTTAGATATGTCTTGTTCATATTTATATCCCTAGCTCTTAGCAGTGTGCTTGGCATACAATACTCAAAAGATGCTTGATAAATAAATGCAATAGCTATTTGATTTTAAATTCTAAGATGTTTGTCTTAAAGCTTGACACAATAAACAGGTTCTTGCTGAGCTTCTGCCTGTCAAGGAGGCAGACTGATATTCTTACCTTCTGCATTGACAACCATAGTTCCAATAACCCCTTTATGGCTCTGAATCCTCTTTAGGGTTTCCTCCACCTCAGTCTGGAAGAGATCAAGATGGTAATTAGCCAAAAGGGTCTTGGTGGTGACCTCAGTCCCAAACAGAATAATGTTTAGAAAGACACCCATTTCCCTATCTCCCTAACCTAAGGTACTGGATGCTACAATCTTAGGTTTTTGGAAGAGAGCTTTGAAATGCTCAAGTCCCACATACAAGGCCATATAAGACACCCCAGCATACAACCCTGATAAATTTCTTGGCTTGAACCCTTCTAGAAACGGAGAGCTTACCACCTCACACAAGTTCTTTCCATTTTTACCACTTCTTCCTTTCCTTCCTTCCTCCTGTTTCAATTGTCTATAAAAGACTTCTTCACATTGAACAGAAATCTGTTCCAGATCATCTTTCACCCATTGTTCATAGGTATTCTTTCTGGACCGACATGGCAAATTCCTTTTCTGTATTACAGTCCTTTAATATTTACAGAGTAATATCATGAGTACCCTCTGTCTATCCCTTCATGAGAAATCTTATTCTCAGTCCTAAATGTTACCTAATTGGGAGTTCAGATGATAAATTTACAGAATATATAAATGTAACTATAGCTTGAGTCTCAGGGCAAGTTGAAAGTTTAACCATTAATGATTATGTTGGAACCCCATTACTGGGTTTTAAACTCAGCTTTCTGAATAAATCGTACGCATAAGCTGTACTGTATCAGCCCTATTTCCCTCAGATTTAGAGATGCCAAAGTAAAGAATAATCTTTTTCAAACCTTCATACTGTTCATGACTGAGTTATCACTGGATATTCTGAAGTCAAGTTGCAGTCTGCGAAGTCCCTTAATGAGGGCGTATGATAGTTTTGTTTTGTTTTCTTTAAACATCACACAGGTGAACATTATGCCACCTTATGGCAAAAGACAGTTTTCTTTTGCACCTAATGTGGCCACAATCACTGACTTCCACTTTTCCTTCACCATAACAGGTGTTTTCTGAATTTCAGACATCTATGTACTAGAGTCACAAATTTTGCCGTTATGAATACCACCTATATCATTTAACTAGCATTTTCTTTAATTATCTCACGGATAAAAGCTTAAATAAGTGCATTTTAAAAGTATACATCACCACCATAAATGGAAATCTGGTATCATGTCATAAATAGAAATAACTACAAAAAACCAACACAATGAGGACAGAATATATTATTAAATTCTACCATCACGAAGGCTCTGAGCCTGCAGTCTGCTCTCCAGGTGAAAAAATGAACATTACCAAATGATTGTGGCATCAAGGACCTGTGTCAGAAACTTTGTCCTGGATATAATCAAAGACTGGGAAAAAATGGGAGAAGAATAACTTTCTCACAATGTAATTCACTGTACTATTTGGTAATCCTGGGCTATTTTATGCAACAACTAAGGTTTCCATCTCACTTTGGGAAACAGTGAACTAAAGAGTAGTAGTTGTACATGGGATCAATCATTTATTACACTTCTTGTAATCTTTAAGAAAATCTCCACAGTTCCTTACAACCACTGGCCTCTTTTTTTTTCTTTTCTCACAAACTCTTCTCTCTGCTCCTCCCTGCCTTTCCCTCTCTCCTCCCAGTTCTCTCTCTGTGTTTCATGATTCCTAAATCCTCCTAATACAATCTCTTAATCTCCATTCCTTTTCATTCCTCTTTTACTACGGTACTCTTCTTTGCTCTGTCTTTCAAACTTTCTGCAGTCCCTACTTTCTCTCTTTCCTTTTTTCCTTCCATCCACTCACCCACCAGCCCTCCCTCCCTCCCTTCTTTCCTTCCTTCCTGCCTCACTCTCCACTTTATTTTCCTTTCTTCTCTCTCAATATCTCCTCCTTCTCTTCTAACTTCACTCCCTAGGTCGCTCTCCCATCTCTTCCTTCTCTCTCAGGATCCTCTCCATCTTGCCCCCACCCCCACCCCCCTTTCAAACCTTCCTCTATCTGGAGATCTCTCGTCCCTCTCAGGATCTTCCATCCCTCAAGATCTTTCTGTATAGCTCCCTCTCCCAGGCACTCCCTCACCCCTCCAAAATCTTCCCTGTCGATATCTATCTTGATATTTTCGCCTATCTAAACATCTCCAGCCCTCCTCTATATTGACAGCTTCCCGTTTCCAGGGTCTCGCTCGCGTCCCTCAGGACTGTGCGCGCCTCTGGAGGGCGGGTCTCAGACCGAGAACCCAAATTTACCATGGCGCTGGCGGCGGGACCCTCCGCTCAGTCGGGCGCCAACGCTGTCCGGGATGTCAACAACGCTTCCAGCCGTTGCTAGGAGACAAGGGAGGAAGTGACCTTCCGGAAGCATCGGTGGCGCGCCTGCGTGCGCGTGGGCTGGGCAGCATCAGGGGGCGACTCTTCCGCCCTGAACACGTCACTGACCCTCCCGGCCGCCGTAAGGGAAGGTGGGTTAGGAGCGCCACGGGCGGTCTTCTGAAGCTAGGCCTGGCTCGGGTCGCTGGGCCTGAAAGAGAGTTGGGCGCAGGCTAGGCTCCTGCGAGTGGTTAGTTGCTTTCTTTAGCGCACATCAGTGTCACATCTACACACTCATTCAAGAACTAGTTGTTGAGTATCGCCAAGTATTGGCCCTGGGGCCTGGGCCCATTTTAGTGGGAGAGCAGTACAAAATGCAACAAGCGAAATAATTTCTGTTAAAAACGAAACAGTTTCTGTAAAAGAAGAGTTTTACTCAAAGATTTGCAAATTGGGGGGGCCAAACTGAAAGTTCAAAATGACGTTTCAAAGAGGGAACATAAACACGTGTCCTTTATACTCAGTTTTGCAGAACTCTGTACAGAGTTGGGAAAGAGGGTGGTGGTGGTGAGGTACATTTGATTGGTTGATATTCAACATGCTCTATAAGACTCATTAACCGAGAATTTCTGTTGTCTGGGGTACTCAACCTTAGCCTCAGTTTCTTGCATTCCAGAGCTGGTTCCTCCAACAGTCTGGGTGGGTCACCTCAGAATGTTGCAGAACAAGATATCTTGGTCAAAGGTGTGGTCATGGGTCACATAGTCTACAAAAGCAGAAGCAGGGGCCTAGGACAAAAGGGAGTCGAGATTCAGACCTGTGTCAGTCATTTTAATTATGTCAAACGCCTCGGTTTCTGAGTGCTCTTTCACACTTCTTGTATGATAGGTGTTCTGGAGCATCTGGCTCCCGGGGTTGGGCTGCTTTAGATATATGAGATTAGACTCAGCTGCCTTGTGATACTTGGCACATTGCGCTCAGCACTTCCCAGTGTAGGGCTGATACTTTTGTCCCGGAAGTAGTTTTATATTAAAGAAAACACGTTACAGCATCAAATAGTACTGTATATATACACCAAACCAGTTGCTGTGGAGCCAATTCTGATTCATGGCGACCCCATGTGTGCAGACTAGAACTCCTCCATAAAGTTTTCAAGGCTATGGGTTCAAACTGCCAACACCAACTTTTCAGTTTGTAGTAGAGCCCTTAACTGTTATATATAAATTTACTTCCCCACTCCCAAACTGTAAACACCCATCTTACATCTACTTGTAGCACCACCCCTTACTACTCTTAACTAGTTTGAGTTGATGCTTGTCAGTACAGTATTTTTGTTTAATCCATTAGTTTTTTTGCCATTATTTGCCAACAATTCTAAATTGCTGGGAAATGGTTTGCAAGTGGTAGTTCTGGAGGTTCCACCAATTGCCATAGAAGAGCATTCCACTGGGTGTTTAAGGAACTGACGGAGGAAACATAAGTTAAAGATCAGCAGATCAGTTAGGTATGGTCAGAAGTCACTTGACCTTTTGAAGTGTATGGGCAATATCTTTGTAGCCTGGGAAGAAGAGGCCAATGATTGTGTCAAGTGCAGCAGGAAAATTTTATGGCTGGAGGCATGTTACGACTTCTGGGGTTTGAAGAGGACACACAATGATTACTAAATTCAAGTTGTAAGTTGAGAATGCAGCTCCATAGGGACCATGCTATAATGGCTCTCTATACAACAAATGGAGCCCTGGTGGCACAGTGGTTAAGTGATACGACTACTAACCAAAAGGTCAGCAGTTCAAATCCACCAGCAGCTCCTTGGAAACCCTATGGGGCAGCTCTACTCTGTCCTATAGGGTCACTATAGGTTGAAATCAACCCAACAGTAACAGGTTATATAAAAGTAATTCAATTTGTGCTTCCATTTCCAGAAAGCTGCCTCACATGAAACAGGGCATGCTTATTGCTATTAATGTCATCTAGAATCTGAATTGGCTGTTGGTCAGAGACGCTCTGGAATGGTCTTAAACTCATTGTTGGCTTTGGACTAGATGATCCATTTCAACTTTGAGTCTATCATTTTGTGATTTTAAGTCATGTACAGAAACTCTGAGAATCTCTAGGTCTGCTTCAGTTTAGTTTTTTGTGTTTGTTTGTTTTGGGGGGTGATCAATTCTGGTCACTGTTAATTCTCCCCTTTTTCTATCCAAGTAAATTCTCCTTCTCAAAAAGCCAGGTCACAATAGCCAACTAACCTCCCTGTCACTCAACATCTTGGAATGCAGTTGAGATGATTTGGAATGGACAGCTAAGGTTGTGGGAGAGGAGTCTAGAGTGTGTGTGTGTGTGTGTGTAAGTGTGTGTGTGTAAATAGGTCTGGCTGTTGCCTATAACCACCATTTTGCCGTATTAAAAATGTAAATATGTCCAGTAATACTGGCTGAATTGTATGTATAAAGCCTGATTCTTGAGCTCTCTGGGTGTTTCTGATAAAGGAGATTCCTACTTGATTGTGTAGCTATCTGTTTTCTTATAAAAATAAGTGGCACTGTGGCATGTGTGTTGCATCAGTCAGCTTTAATGAAGGATGGGACTGCATATGCATGGGGTGTGAATTCCCTCGTTTCTGGAGTCAGGGTGTCAAACTCATTCAGTAGCTGACAGCTGTGATTACAGCAGAGAGAGACTCCAACATGAAAGGCACTGACAGGAGTAGCCAACTGCTGAAAAAGAAATATGAAGTAGCCAAACTGACTTCCAACCAACAGTCAAGTTTGACTCACTGAGCAGAGGAAATCAATGCGGAGAATATGAGCCATTTTCTCCTTATTGATTTTCACTTCTAATTATTCCTTGGAGGTAGCTTGCTTTAA